TTATGAAAAGCTTCTCCAAACCCTTGCTAATGTCAAAATGGGTACTGAATCTGATAAATTAAGATGAAATTTAAGCAAAAATGGTTCTTTTACTGTTAAATCTCTATATAAAAACTTGATGGACAGAAATCACTATACTGCTGTTTTTCCTCACAAAATCATTTGGAATAGTTCTGTCCGACCCAGAATTTCGGTGTTTGCTTGGGAAGCTACTATGGTTTCTATTCTCACGCTTGACAACCTTATGAGAAGAGGTTTCATGTTCGTTAACTGGTGTGTATACTACGCAAGCATTATATAGAATCTTGCAGCCATCTTCTTCTTTTCTGTCCATCTTCCTATGAACTATGAATAATGGTTTATAAGTTGCTTGGTGTCTCTTGGGTTATGGCTGGTTCTGTCAAAAGCGAATTGTTCGCTTGGGAAGGACTCACTTCGGGTAAAAGGTGGCATAGAGTCATTCCTTTAACAATAATATGGATTATATGGAAAGAAAGAAATTGTAGTATTTTTTAGGGCAAAGAAACAAATTTTGCTACTATTAAGGACAGATGGCTTCATTTTTTTGGCTCTGTTATCCTTGGTTACAACCCTAACTCTTTTGATGATCTTGGATACATTATAAATATACTTACTGATCTATAAATATTATCTTTTGTACATGAGTTCGCCCCCTCGGCGCTCTATTTAATACTATTACTCACTTTTATCTCAAAAAAAAAATCCAGTCATTAACCTCCTAGTCATTCAGATTCCAAAGAAAGGGATGCCCAGCTAGATTCCACCATTATACACCTCTAAAAAATCCTCAACCTAGGCCTCCTTGAAACGAGCAATGGAGTAGATAGAACAAAATAATGCTCTCAAAAAAGTCTAGCACAATACCATATATCATCCCAAAATTTAATCCACCTGCCATTCCCAGCAACAAAACCAATATGGGTACAGAACTACACCCACTTTCAATCAATCAACCTCCATCTACTAGGACCAGAAGCATCCCTACCCTCCTAGAACAACATTCATTTTCCAAGAAGCCAGACTTAGCTTCAATTACCTTCCACTAGAGGGAGTCTTTGCTGAAAAAGAACAACTATTTCCATTTAGCCAACAAAGCTTGATTAAAGCTCTGCAGAGACCTAATGCCCAATTCCCCCTTCCTCAGAGACTGTTTCACATACTTCAAGCCATGAGCTGAAACTTCCTTTTGTCCTTTGTATCTCCCACAAAAACTGGTTTTGGATGTCCTCAATCCATTTAAAGTACAACAGAATGATAACAAGAAGAACGTAGAGCACATGCAGAGTCAACCCACCACCTTTGGATAAATATTACAAAAACATACTTTATTACGTTTTTTCCAAACTACTGGGTTATCAGATATGGTTACAAGGTGGTAGACTCTTTGGTAATATCTACCTTTTTTAGCAGGTTTCCAAGACAGATAAATATTCAAAGAATAGATTCATCTACAAACTTTCCAAACTACTTAGTTACAAATACCTCATCAGCAATCATAGCAATGAGTGCTGAACTCTTCGTAGGAATTTGTGCTCTTCCAGCCATTTTTGGATTCTGATAATTCACCTATAGAAGAAAATAAAGAAAATGAAATCAAGGGCAGAGAAACTACAATTGAGGGGTTAGCATAATAAAACATGGACCACTATATTGGGAAAGAGAAGCAGCACAAGATAGATGTGCATTCATCTCAACATTATGATTAATACATTAGAAACCAGAAAATCACTTAAAAATTAAAAAGAATCATGTGATTCATACGATTTAAGATCAATGGCCGTTGCCATAATTCTATTGAAAGCTGGATCGCATACAAGAGAATAAACCACTAATCGAAATCAGAAATTTAGAATCTAAAGTAATATAAAATAGGAAGGTGCACGCCTACCCTATGGTGTGTAGACTAATTAGCTAATCTTAATTTGTATGTATTTAACTAACACCCTACCTGTGGTGTAAGTATGTGATGGTAGCATTCACATGTAAATAAAAATTTGCACTTACACATATTTACAAATCATACAAGAGTAGGGATTAGAAAGACATCAAAGATAAAAAAGAAATAGAAAAAAGATAAAACAGAACTACTGGGAGATGAAAGGATCTTAAGAGAACTGTCTTCAAAAGTTTCCCTCCTCTTAATTACTTAACTGATTGAATTCTGAAATGAAAGATTTAAGGACAATCTTCATGGGCATTTATGTCTTTACCAGGAAAAATGAAAGGAATATCCTTCGGCTAGGACCTGTTTACTCAAATAACGGAACATGATACACCATACTACACAACAAATCTGCCTCTCGTCACGTCAAATTACTTCAGTCCAGAGATGCAAAGTTCAGAGAATTCTGAAACAGAAGTGATAACATCACATGGACCAAAGCCATAGGTAACCATGTATGCATGAAACGAGGTTATGATGAATTTAAGCCGGTGGTCTCACATGTCATTTTGATCCCCCGAAAGGTCATTCTTTTAGGCATTAATATCCAGAAAACAGAAACATAAAACTACTAAACTCTAGCTTCACATTTTAAAAATGGTTCAACTCCATCTTCAAAGAAACATTGAAATCATAAAATATGTTACAGCTCACTTGAGCCAATTTCAGAGGGACCATCAAGGGTAGACCAGTGTCTGAGCAAATTTAAACCAAGCACACAACCAAAACTAGCAACGGTATTAACAAGGGGTTTCACCACGAATTCCATGAGGGTCTCAAATTTGACATATTCTAATCAAAAGCAAAAGATTATAACTACTCACTGTCATTTTTCCTATATAACTTTCATTGAACAGCTTAGATAAATTCGATTAGCAGGCCAAAAAAGGGGATAAAACCAAATAGATCAGTCATAAATTAGCTCATATATTACCATCTTCCACATTTCACAGCATCAACCATGCTTATAGAGCATTGATATTTCAACTAATCCTTACATGAACCACAAAACATACTCACATCAGAAGATACGCACAAGTAGATTTTAATCAAGCAATTGGCTCACAATAGCATTAGAGCTGAACACAAAGAGTAAAGTCAATTACACATAGCTAATACTCGGGATTGGCAGTGTAAACTAAAAGCACGAAATCAAATCCTCCTGCCTGTTCAATCATTTCATATATCACATGCCAAGCATCAATTTATCTCAAAACCAAAATACATCACATTCCGCTGAAGAATAAGAAAAGAAACGAAAAGTGATTACCCAAAAATTTCTTTCTGTTCTTTGTCTTGTTCGATCTCACAAGCCTACACCTCCTCCTTTCAGAGATCTTTCTTCTCGATTTCGTTCCCTTTTTCTGCCAACTCCCGAACCCTTCTTATCCCCTTTTCCGTTTAAACCCTAAACGAACCCAATAATCCCCAAAGTTTTCCTTCTCTGACTCCTGTTCCCTCTCCGAAAACCAGACCCCTTCAACTCAGTTCTTCTGTTGTGTTCCTCCCATCCTCCCTCTTTCCTGTCTCTCTATTTCTCTCTTCTTCTCCAGCCAATTGCAGCTGTCACGTCCCTTCTCTGATTCGAGCACGTGGAACTGTCCCGCTTTCCTTCCTTGTCGCTTCCGCAATGCCCTAATTTGGGCACGACATCGTTTGGTTGAAGCAAAATCTGGTACTGGAACGACGTCGTTTAAGCTTCCACGAAAGCAGAAGAATGCTGGACTGATGCGACGCCGTTCGTGCTTCCACCAAGGCTGACACTGGGCTGGCTTTTTCTCTCCCTTTTGTTTAATTTTTCCTTTTTCCCTCATCGTTTTTTTTTTCTTTCTTTTCCTAATAAAAATAAAATTAAAAATAAAATAAACATAAAACAACCATAATAATTAATTTAAAATGAGATTCTGAAAAATAATCAAAAATCATAATATTAATAATAATAATAAATTATTATTTATATACGATAAATTTTGAATATAAAAAATAAACAGATAAATAAAATTTAAACTCAAAAAATTTCAAATCTTATATAAAAAAATTATAAAGATACTATTTTAATCGAAAAATAACAACACTAAAACATTTTAAAAAGAGAAATTGAAAAAAAATCCAAACAAGTTTTTATAATTATTAATTATTAAATATTTTCTTTCTTTTTTTTCCGATAGATTATTAAATATTTTCTTAATTAATTATTGTATTTTATTGTCGATATTCTAATAGATTTATGATGAAAGTTGCATTATTCTTTCACTTCCATTAAGTTTCATAAAATATTTTTATATTAATTAAATTTAATTGGAACATCCAAAATTTTAACTTAATCAATAAATATTGAATATAAAAATAATAAAATATAATATCTTATTTATTTAAATTAAAATTTTAATTTATTAACGTGTTTAAAGAGATAATGTAATAATCACATGAATTCCCTAGTTCTATTCATTCTATATTGGCAATGAGATGATGCCCTCACCAAAAAAGCTGTTTGGTAAAAGCACTTTTTTATAAGTGGCTTATGTTGGGTCTTGAGCCAAACAAAGCTTTTGGGACCTACCACTAAAATGAAGCCTCCAAAGAATTGTAATAAGCCAAAAGCATAATAAGGCAAAAATCACTTTCTCTCTTGTTCTTTTTTCTATAACCCTAAAAGGTCTTTAATGTGGAGTTAAATTGGGATTTTCACCAAGTGTAATACTAAACCAATGGATTGATTTATATTATTTTATGTGAAAAATTGGCAAAAGGGTATAGATTTTACTTTTATATTTCTATCTTGTTATAATTTAAACTAAGCAACTTTTTAATCATGATTTTATTTTCATAGTTTATTTTATTGCAAAATATATGTGTGTATATAGGCTATAAATAAAAAAAAAATAACAAGGTAATAATTTTATTAAAATAATAAAGTGTTTATACAAACTAAATTTTTAGAAGAAACCCACAAAATTTAAATTGGAATAACCCGAACTAAATAAAACAAATTGCAATTTAAAGTAAAAATAATATCAAATTTAAATCGACAAAAACAATATGAGAAGAAAATGTCAAAATTATTCATTTTTTGGGATTTTTTAAATTATTTTAGAGTAAATAAATTATTATTTTATATAAAAAAAAGAAATAGTTCTCAGTCTACCAATATAAATTTAATTAATATATGATTACAAAAAAGTTTTATCATGACCATAGAATAAGCCTTTCTTTTTCTCTTAATGCATATGTAGATGTCTGAAATTTTAAGAGAAATGAATTCATAAAATTAAATATGGAAGCGATTAATAAAATTATGGTTTACATTACTCACATAATAATTTATAATGCCTAATAGAGTTACGGGAATATCATTTATAAAAGACAAACGGTAATTAAAGAAATGAAAAGAAAAGTGAATACAAAAGTACCATATGATAACCTTCATTAGCACTTGAAGCAAATTCGAATGGTGAACTACTCATAACTCTCTTACTGATCGAGATCTAGATTCTGTTCCTCTTAATATGAAATTATTAATAAAATGATGAACTGCATTATCTCAGTAAGAATATTACAGTAATCACAAATACGAAAAATTGAATATTTGTAAAAAAAAATAATAATAACTAAGGGAACCCTTGCTTTATTTATATACTTTTAAACTTAAAGACGTTTGTTTGATACTTACTATAACGAGTTTTTCAAAAAGAACCTATGAATACTCATATTCATACCACTTTTTACTTTTATGTATAAGAGAACAAGAAACAATAACTTTATTTCTTACTTGTTTACTTGTATCCATGGGGGTCATAAAGATGTCTCCCCTACTTGTGAACTTAATATCAAATTTTATAATTAACTAGTCGTTATCATATCTCGTCCAGTAATTGGCGCCAAATATTTCATCGAATAGATATCCCGTCCGGTATGGGGGTAAACCATAACTCCAAAATCTTTATGGTAAGGGACTTTTCAGGTCCGTTCGACTGAGGTAACATTCACAGTAGAGTTCCCTATGTATTAGGTCTGTTCGTCCTTTTCTTAGGTACCCAGTAAGTTTTTCACATACAAATTTCTATTAACAAACCACCAACAAATGCATACCAATATTTCATATTATATTTATAGATTAATTAAACTATATTTATACTAACGGTATATAACCAAAATAACTAAATAAATCGATAAGACAATTGAAATTATAAATTAAGAATATGTACTATATGAAAATCAAGCAAGTAAGACAGTATAAGAAAATAAATAGGAAATCAAGACAATTGTGAATTAACTGGTTATGACTCTATAAATAACTTGTAATTAATTTTAGAATTTTTTAATTTTTCATAAAAATACGAGATTATATATCATTAAGTCTCAATTTATTGTAACGAAGAATAAGGTAAAAGATCCTTACTCGGATCGGTATTTCGAGACATTGCGCTGTCTACCACACCTCCTAACGGGTATCAGGGTCCCTAAATTTTTTATGCAAAATTCAAAACATTCGTCATACCTAAAAATATCCCGAAAATCTAAAATTGATGTCCAAAACTCTTTCCAGCCAATTTTGGAGTTCCAGCACGACGGTGCTACCGTGCTTCGGCACCGGCTCCATCGTCAACGACGGCGATCCGTGTCGATTAGGCTAGTTTTACATGTATTCTTATGAAAAAATACATTAGGGGACTTCAATTGGTCGGAAATCACCAAAAACATCGAACATATCGGCGGGGGTCACTGGATGCGGCGGCTCCGCTGGTCCTCCCTCGCGGATGAGGTTCCTTATTCGCCTAATCTGCACAGAAAAGGACGGTGAACACAATAATAAAAAAATTGCACGAAACAGGAATCAGAAAGGGATTCATTAGAAGAATTTTGTGGTTTTGGCTGCGGCGACTCCACAAGGTTTTGTCCACAGTTTTTGGCTCACCTACCGTTCCTCTTACATTAATTTGGCCACATGGGTACTCATAATTGGATTCTGAACGAGTAGGAAATTTTTTTATCTTTTTTACCTACCAGTGGTGGTTTCGGTGCGGTAGCGATTGACAGTCAACCTCCTTCTTGGACGTCCGGTTCTTCTTGTCCAACGGGGGCTAGCAGTTAGGGTTTTGGTTCCCATGCAAGGCGAAGTATTTATACACATCCTGCGTTGATCTGGGACATCCATCATGAATGATCTCGTCCGTCCGATCGCGTTTAATGAAAAAATATATCTAAACCGTCTATCGCAATTAATCTCAACCATCCGATCGCGCCTAAAAGAAAAACGAATCCGGACCGTCTATATGCGCTGGATCAATCCTGGACTGTCCGATCACGGGGCACGCAGATTGCGCGCGTGGCCTCCCGCATAGCACTGACATCAGCGTGCCTTGTCACACGGCATGCTCCGCTTCATCGGGGCTGCTGACTGGGCAATCTTACGTGCTTGAACTTTTTTATTTGCACTTTAACCTCCTATTTTTAATTTTTTTAAAAAAAACACCCACTGAATTTAATTTTTTTTTTTCAAAATTACTTTCAATTACGTCCATATCTTTTTTTTAATAATTTAATAAAATTAATTATTTTATTTATTTTTAAAATACCAAAATTGATCTCGAACTAAATTTCGGATTCGAGTATTATAGAATGTGTTTCATCATTTAATAGTTTTTTTTTAAAATGGTATGAAATTTGAATACATATTAAAGAATAATGCCACCTTGATCATTGACTTATTATAATATACAAAAGAAATAAGAAAATAATTCATTAAGAAAACATTCAATAATTAATACTCATTAAATTGAAGGTATCTTCACATAGTTATGTAAGCAATTATAGATATGTTTGTACACATAAATGAAAAAGATCATGTGATTATTGCGTAAAATAATAAACTTAATTGTAATGCTTAACGAGGGAGATTAAGTTAATTAAATTTTTTATTATGTGAATAATTATACTCGTTAAGTTTGAAATATTTACTTGAGATTATAAATTAATTTATAGTAAATTATAAACTTATTTAGGAGTAAGTTAACAAAATCTATAGTACGAATCTTAGTAAGAACCTGAAGTTATTATATATATATATTTTTTGCCATAAAGAGTTTACATTACTTTTGCAATAAGCATGATAGTTTATATAAAGAATGAACAGCAAAATAATAATATAAGTTAAAGAAGAACATGTGATTGATTAACATGAGTAAATCGACATAATAAGAAATGATAAACTATAAAAACACAATAAATCTTAGACTCGAAAGAGGAAATACTTTCAAAGTCCGTAATTAAGACAAAATGGATCAAGAGAGGTTGAAGGTTGATTAACATGTAAGAGGTTTTCGAATAAAGATACGTAAGTGAATATAATTAAAACTAAAAAGAAAATTGAGTTATAGAGAAGACGAAAGGATCTAATGGCTCTAAAAAAACTAAAAAAAATAATTATATTTTCATAAATAAACATGACATGAGACGTAAATACACTTGTGATCTCTGTTTTTAATCTCATACCTAAAGAAATAGCAAAATCGAACTCTATATTTTAATTTATTATATTTATACTATTAAAAATAAACATATATAATACTCTCAAACACTATAAAGTACCCGTAATTAGGAATCTAGCAAAATAAACGTAAATATAGAGGTAGATTACCCGTAATACGAGAATAAAAATTACTCGTGATATATACACCTATAATGACAAATTTTTTCAGAAAGTTCTTAACATGTTATAAGCTTATAACGATTTGAATAATATAAAAGATATGTTGGTATTTTATTTTCATATATATTATTTAAATTATATATAAAAATTATTTTTACAAATATTTAAACTAATAAAAATTAATAGAGTATGTTGATAGGTTCATTGAGTTGCAATTACAATGGAATTATGATTATAAAATAATTTTATTTTCATTTAATTTATAAATTTTAGTTATCGATATAAAAAAATTAATTATAATTTATTGGATTTAGTGCAAAATTAGTTTAATTTCACACATATTGTACTTTATTTGTTAAAAAATGAATAAAAGAAATATCTATTTATTTAAAATATATGTCTAGTTTCATTTAAATACATATTAAAATTCAAAATACAAATTTCGTGTGTATATATATATATATATATATAATGCCAATGCACATACAATATTTTTTATATTTAATGGAGAGAAAATTAATAAATTAACTAAAAATATAAATATATACATATGTAACTTATATTTACTTTTGAATTTCAATAAATAATAATAATAATAATTTCAGAGAAAATTGAAAGAAAAAAAAAAAGTGATGTCACAATCACAAGCATATAATATGAAAATAACGACAAAAAACAATTTCAGAGGCAAATTAGAACGAGTGGCTTTATTTCTTCTACTTCCTCCTCCCTTTCTCCTCTGCTCTGCCTTTATATACCTGCTCGCCTTCCTGCATTATCGTTTATTCTCCATCTCTCGCATCTTCAATCCCCTTCCTCTCCCTCTCCCTCTCTCTCTTTCCCTCTCCAGGTGAAAATCTCTTCTGGGTTTTTATGGGTTTCTCTTCTTCACTCTGTTTCAATGTTGTTCTCTCCTGTTTTTTGGTGCTTTTCTTCTGATCTAGGGCTTCAATTTTTATGGGGTTGTCTTCAATTCTATGTTTACTGCCATTTTTGTGAATAGTTATGTTTTCTATCTCCGCTTCTTTATTTTTTTTTCTCCATTTCTTTAATTTAATTTAATCTTGATGTGGTGAAAGTTAAGATCTTTCTCTTATAATATTATATATTTGAAGTTTTAGGGCCGTTCGTTTGCTGAAATTTTCTGTCTTTCTCCATGGAAATGAATTCATTCTAGTATTTAAATTTTGCTATTTTTGTGTACAGAAATATGTTGTTCTTATATTTTAAATTTTCTGAATTCCTGCTTCGCTTTTTACGTAGAATGTTATTGAATAATATTCTTTGTTCCTTGACTTTGGTCTCACGTATTATAAGCATCTAAAGATTCAGATTTCATTCTATTGAAGAATATGTTTTCTGTAGGCTCTCTTAGTGTATATTTATTATTTATCTTAGTAATTATTTATATCATGATGTGGGCAGACTTGATTTTTTTTATTGGTTCATTTTTTTGTCCATTTCCCTACTCCCATGGATAGTTTATTTGCGGAGTTGGTGATAATTTAGTGTTTCTGCAGTCTTAAGTTATTGAAAGTCTTGGTTTTGCAGAATGGGAAGCAATGATGGAACTGATTATGGTGCATACACCTACAAGGAACTCGAAAGGGAGCCCTATTGGCCGTCTGAGAAGCTTCGAATTTCGATTACTGGGGCAGGTGGTTTCATTGCCTCCCATATTGCTCGTCGTTTGAAAAGCGAGGGCCATTACATAATTGCTTCAGACTGGAAGAAGAATGAGCATATGACTGAGGATATGTTCTGTCATGAATTCCACCTTGTTGATCTCAGGGTTATGGACAATTGCTTGAAGGTTACTAAGGGAGTTGATCATGTGTTTAACCTTGCTGCTGACATGGGTGGGATGGGATTCATCCAGTCCAACCACTCGGTCATTATGTATAACAATACCATGATCAGCTTCAACATGCTTGAGGCTTCCAGGATTAATGGAGTCAAGAGGTTAGCTGTTTTTGAAATATTTCACTTTGTTTTCAGTGGAGGAATTATTTATTTAACATGACAGTTGGGTTCTTGCCTTGCGCCTGCTAATGCTTGTTTGGTTTCTTGTAGATTTTTCTATGCATCCAGCGCGTGTATCTATCCTGAATTTAAGCAGCTAGAAACTAATGTGAGCTTGAAGGAGTCTGATGCTTGGCCTGCAGAGGTTTGTGAATTTTGCTAGATAAGAATCTCTAATTTACATAATGCTTTTATTACTGTTTTTTTTTTAATTTACAACTAATATTCTTTGGCTTTAGCCTCAAGATGCATATGGTTTGGAAAAGCTTGCGACTGAGGAATTATGCAAGCACTATACAAAAGATTTCGGAATTGAGTGTCGTATTGGAAGATTCCATAACATTTATGGTCCTTTTGGGACGTGGAAAGGTAAGCTGTTTATAGGAGTTGTTATTTACGTGCTTAAATGATTTTGTGCCTTTTTTGCATCGGACTATATTGAATGTGTCATTTGTTGTATGCATCTAGGTGGAAGGGAGAAGGCACCGGCTGCTTTTTGTAGAAAGGCTATCACTTCCACTGACAAGTTTGAGATGTGGGGAGATGGAATTCAAACTCGCTCTTTCACCTTCATCGATGAATGTGTTGAAGGTGTCCTCAGGTAATATCCCTTATATTTTTTTTCGTCTCTTTTGAGTTGTATATAATGCTGACCATGGTAGATTTCTTGGCGTTACATTCAAGTAAATCATTTAACAACTTCTGAAGTTTTCATATAGAAAGATCGATTTTTATTTAAATGGGTGAGCTGCTTGTGGATATTCCCCTCTTTCAGGACATAATATTTCCTTTTATCATATCATTATGGAAAAATTGTTGTCATAATTTTGACTAAGTTAGACTGGATTGGTGTATGTGTTTCATGTCATGGGTTTTCATTTTACCCAAGAAGTACCCAAGTGGATTCATATATGGCATGTTGAACAAAAGTTTTAGGTGACTTTTTTTGTTTTTTAAGAAGAATAAATTAATTCTTCTGTCCATCTCATTGATTTGCCACCTTGAAATCAACTTTTTAGATTAACAAAGTCAGATTTCCGTGAGCCGGTAAACATTGGAAGTGATGAGATGGTTAGCATGAATGAGATGGCTGAGATTGTTCTCAGTTTTGAGAACAAAAAGCTTCCCATCCAACACATTCCTGGCCCAGAGGGAGTGCGAGGTCGTAATTCGGACAATACACTGATAAAAGAGAAGCTTGGCTGGGCTCCTACAATGAAGTTGAAGGTACCTCTATAATTTAATTTGAGTTTTTCTTTTAGATTTCAGTCTCCAATTTCAGATATGAAAATAAAGATAACACCATGTCTTTGGCAGTTTCTTCTTCTTGTCTCAGCGTTTCACCTGCTTATGTATCTCTAAATCTGTTTCTCTATAGGATGGGCTAAGAATTACATACTTCTGGATCAAGGAACAAATTGAGAAAGAGAAATCTCAGGGTATTGATCTGTCTATTTATGGATCATCTAAGGTGGTGGGAACTCAAGCACCGGTTCAGTTGGGCTCACTTCGTGCTGCTGATGGCAAAGAGTGAAGAAATTGGTATCCCATGTTCTTTCATGGTACGACTAGCGTATACTATAGGATAAGAAGGCATCTATGGTTATAGACCATTATCAGGCTGACTAGTATTTGTCCATTTGTTTAGTATCCGTTGTTGTAAGGGGAGCTTTTTATACTGCTGCTGTATTTAGTTGATCTATTACAGAGGAGCATAAAAATTTCTGCAGTCTTTAAATATCTAAAATGTATTCCTGTCAAGAAGAGTCTAAGATTTCAGTTCCTTGCTTTAATGAACCAATATGTTCTCCAGTTACATTTCTTTATATATTCTGTAGTAGCAGGCTGATTTCAGTTTTCAAGAAATCAACTTGTTATCTACATGAACATAAAGCTGTTGTGCTTTTGGCTTGACATTATAGTACAAAAATGAAGAGCTTCTGCTTCTTCTTTTCCCATTTTACATTGTTGGATGAGATTAACTTCTACTTCCTACCATTATTGATGAATAATGTGATAGTGAAAGTGTTGATTCTGGGTTGGGATTCGATTTAATTCTCACTGAACCTGTGTGGATCTAGTTTGATATCCAAGTTAGGTTATATGATGAGATGGCATGGTTGCCCACTAAACTCCTTGTGGTCCTTAAAACAGTTACACTGACATCTAAGGAGGCATATTATATAGAAGATGCTAGAATCTAAATCACACCCCAATCAGGAACTTGAAACTTGAGCCAGATTACATTTGTCTGTCCTTTTCAGTATAAAGAGTTTGGCTTTTTGAATAGAGCGAATGGGTATTGTAAGATTTCTAAGAAATTCTTGGATTTCTGTCAGAAGCAGATTAAATTTAGTTTTGTTTTTGGGACAATGTTGAAAGTGTATTTCAACCAGTTTTTGCACATTGAACTAATTCTTTCCTTGAAGGATTTAAGGCTGCAGATGGATCAATTTTATCTTTTATGAATTTTTTTAATTAATAAATAAAAGAAGAACTGCAATCTATTTTGACCTAATCTTTGATATGGGTTTTTACCCTTAACCAGTTCTCAGTCTGATTCAAATCAATTTCAAACCGTAATTTGTGTTACAAGTTGAACTTTTTATGTCATTGTCTATACGAGCAACAGTTAGACGGTTGAATCGACACTAAAGAAAAAATGTAATCTCTTTAATGTGACTTGAATGGCATATAGTGAGACATGAAAACCAGAGTAAGGTTCTTTAGAACAGAAAAAGTTTGAGTGGTTGAAAAATTCTCAGAGAGGATAGTAGCAGACGTGTCTAATCCCACAAGCTTCATCCCTCTAATTGAAAATCATGGAAACCCATCTGCTAACGTGGTAGCCGTAGACCCTCCAAAAGTGTAAAAGGATTAATCTTTTCTGTGACCACCCATGCTTGCTTTTAGTGCCAACTTGATACTGAAAACGACTCAAATTTTGGCTATGGAACTTGGAGATTATACCTAAAACCTTGTTTGTTTCAACTTCTCTATTCAGCTTCTACAAAAGCACTTTTCTTTAAGCTTGAAATGCTTATTAGAAGCTGTGTCTGGGGTGTATGATGTTGTGTTGCTTATGATTAGCACTACCTAAAGTTTTATCTTTTATACAATCCACCCTCAAGCTTAGAAGAAAAAAAGAATCATTTTTAGCATTTTTAGAAAAAAAAATATATTTCTATTTGTAAAATTCAACTAAATTAATCGAGACCAGGACTTCAATTTGTTTCTTTCCTGAAAATGCAGAAATGCCCTTTGAAAAAGAGCATGTATACATTCTGTATTACTGTCCCAAAGGGTTTTAGGTTATGTCTTTCAATCACTATAATGCTACATACTGTGTAAACCATATCATAAAAAATTATTGTATGAACCCTAAAACATGCCATAAAGGCAGCATATTAACAAGGTAAAAGAAAAGTTCCCATGGGAGCTTCATGAACTTCAATCTTAGTGCTGCATATACAAACCCTTCCAACCAAAGAATCTGATATACACAGTTTGCAGGAAGACGAGCATCTTCCTTACTCATAGGCCTCAATATATATGGGATTCGCTTCGAGCTTCTGCACAAAGCTCATGAGGATTTCCTTCACCAATTCCCTAGTGTCATCTAGCTTTAGTGCAACACCATCTTTGACTTCAGAAAACACTTCATCATAAAGATGATCCACAGATTCAGAGAATTCTGATGGGGCTGGGACGCCCAACTCTGTTCCATTTTCCACAAGGAAGGCGCGGATTAACTCCACAGTTGCTTGGCCATCTTGTCCACTGTGGTTTCCCGGCAGCATCTTCTCCACAACACTGTTAAATTGGTCCTTGTCTGCCAAAAGCTGATATGTTTTATCAAGAGATTGTCAGAGATCAGAATTTATCAACAAAAGAATTGTGCTGCTATAAGAAAATCTATACATCTTTTTAAGTCTCAAAAAGCATCCTTCCAGGAACAGTACTAGCAGTTAATTCAAAATAGTATCAAAAATAAGAAATTAAAACATTTTCCCCTAAACCCTTACATAATAAGGGGATACTGGGAGGCAAGAGTCTGAAAAATGACAATTTTGGCAAAAAGGATTGAGGGTGATATACTACCTTTCTTAGCCTAGAACCATTAAAGATCTTGGTGTCCCCAAAAACAGTCACATTGTTTTCAGCCAGGGCATCTGCTACTTCTTCTAGAACAGATTGGAGTGCTTCTGCAAACTGTGATTGCCCCAACTCTTGTTCCTCATCAACTCCATGTTTCTTTAAGATATCATTTATCTGAGGAAATTCTGCTCAAATTTTGTGAAGTTAAACCATGAATAGTTAATTCTGTCTGAGACAAAAATAAGTAAATGAATAAGAAGGCACAAAAGAGTGCCACCCATGTATAGAAAATATTTACGAATAAGCAGTATAAATTATCTATAAGAAATCCTACATCTTCTCCAGCACAGAGAAGATGATGAACACAAATTGACTATCAAACAAAATATTTGGCATATCTTGATTCAAATTAATGAATTGAGCCTCAAATCTAGCTTCAACATTTAAGGAAAAACTTTTATACTCATCAATCTCACATTTCCTAAGTTTTGGTCGAACTCAATCATCTACTTAATCTACTGTAAATCATGAAATTAATAATGTCTCGTCACTTTATTAGTTGGTGTTTTTAATTTCATAGAACCTTAGATTTGGATTTAATATATGAGAGAAAAAAAGGGCAGTAATAGTATGAACAGGGTACCAAGGGAGTGCCATGTGCCATCCCATTTATAAAAGAAGCTTTACATGTTACCAGAAGAACACAAAATATCAGTATGGTTCCATCCTCTTCAAAATAAGAGAATGACCATTAAAAAAAGTACTCATACGTGATAATGCCATCAAAAACCCACCTTGTTCCTTTCCTTCCAGACCACACAAATGATGGCCATTTGAATGGGGAATGAGCTTCTTCTGAATTTAAAAGATCAATGTAACTTTTATAACTTTTGTTAGATTCATACTATTGTATTAGAACTTTATAAGGAAAACAAAATTTTAGATGTTTCTGGGAGAAAATGATGACTCTATTAGTAAGCCACCAAGGGGGTGTCATCCACTTAAAAAAAAAAAGAAACATTACACGTTAGTCAAAATATGAACAAGGTATCCAAGGTCCTTGTCAGAAGAGAAAGGACGCCCTCTCAACAAAAAACCAGAACTAGGGAGACAACGATCTCTAATCTTGCCCAAAAAAAAAACACTTCCACCAAAAGCTCTTTTGTTATTCTCCTTCCATGCAACTCGAATGGACAGGGGAACTAAAGCTATCATTTTCCTCTGGGCTTTAGCTACTCTGGTACCCTGCCAAACCCATTTTTTATTAGCCACCTGAAAATCACCAACATCAAACTAAGGAGGTCGAAGGTGGTATCTATGGAAGACGTGCCAAAGGGCACTGGCTAAGAGAGCAGTAAATGGTTAGTCTTCTCTGCTGTCTCTTGCGACAAATAACATCCATTCACTAAGATTTTTTACCTCTCTTCCTTAGATTGTCAATAGTGCAAATTTTGCTCTCTGAAGCAAAAGAAGGCAATTGGAGGAGTAGCTTCCCACATACGCTTCTAGTCTTAGATTGTTTTAACTGTTTTTTCTAATGATATAACTTAAATGAATACTAGATGAAGTTTTGGAGTTTTATTAAACCAAAAATCAAATTGAAACAAATAACTACTTAAACAGGTTTGCTCAATTTGCAAATTGGTCTATGGTTCTGTTTTAGTTTAGCATTCTCCCAAATTGATGTTTGAGTTTGTTTAATCCCTAAACTGGTCCGAATCAGACCATTAACATTTGCTCTTTCATCTACAACCTTTAGATTAGTAATCATCAGGATTCTTGGTGCAGTATTTTATCTCCACATGCTTTCAAACTCGTAAGTCCTCTCTTCACTGAAGAAATTATCATAGTCCCAGTGAGCTACAAATTATTTTGCACATCAAACAAGTGATAAAATAAAATGATCGCTTATGTCTACTTTTCGGGTAATCTGTAAAGAGAGAAACAAGAGAATATCTGAAGGATGTTGATCCCCTTTTGATAGAATTAGAGATGCTTGGTTCTACTACCCTGATGCCTTTTAATACTACTGTCTTTTCTGCTTTCCTCTCCAAGAAAAGATCATTTATAAGCAATGGTCAAAGAAAATTACATGTTTAAAAAGCCTTTGAACATTATAGGCTATGAGAATCTAGATTGTCCTATCTTTGATCTCTATAGAAAATATGGATAACGGCACTTTCTCCATTTGGGCCGCATAACTAAAGGCAATTGTGATCTTTGCTACCACCAGTAGATTATTAATCTGGATAAATCTTCCATAATGGGCTCATATTCCAGAGTTAGGAAAAAAAACAACGAGAAGAGATAACAACATTATTATGGTGAAAAATGCATTAAAAATGAGAAGGTAAATAGAAACATAAAACCAATAAGAGATTATTTTTTACAAGTATTTGCAAGTCTGACAAAATCTATGCATGAGTTATTATAAGATTACTTAAAGCATTACTTTCACGGTTCACATATTTGGTTTTGTCCATGCAGATTCACGAGAAGGAATTAGGTATTAGAAATAAAGGAAAAAAAATTTTCCTTGAAAAAAAAATTACCAATAAAACTATAAATTAATGTAAAAACAGCTGTATATATATATGGCATCTTTCACCGAGTATGAAGCAAATATTTAATGTTACCAACAAACAAGTTGTGATAGTAACCAAGAGCTGCCATACAAAATGTTCTCCGATTGAGAAGGTCAACTATCACTTTCTCAACTCCCTAGTTGGAACCAAGTCATGCTTTTAGTTACTGCTGGAAATCAAGTTGGGAATCAGAGTATTTTTGGAGTTCTTGTGACTTATTTCCAAAATTAGGAGGTATTCAATAGAGAACTCAATCATCTTTGCGTTTAAGAAGAAACTTCCTTTTCTGGACAATCTTCTGCATAAATCTTTTTTTTTTTTTCCCAAAACAATGCATAGGTACATCTGGTTACAAAAGAACCATAAAAAACCATCCCACTATACAATTAAGCAACCACCAGCTATACAATTAAGTTCACCACCCACAAGAAAATAAACCTACCCCACTACACAAGTAACCACCAACAAGAGAGAGCATAAAACTACTCCACTATACAAACAGGAACCGCCCACAAAATGCAAACTATCACAAGTAGCTGGAGAACTTTGACAATGCTAAGAATGAACTAAGTACCATAACTAGACAGTAAGTTATTGCACCACACAATATGATATAGTACTTAAACTAAGCAGTAAGTTATCTGGTGATAAGCCACTTTCAGCATAACAGGAGATCAAGTAGCATAGCAGCAAGGGCATTTTCCTAGATATAGAACAGATAAATGACAAAAATACTGGCCGAATAATTAAAGAGAAAAGTCTCAACAAGGATACACATATACATAGAACAATGGATTATTGGTCATTGAGATTCATTATTGATTTAGACAGAGATATTGATGATCACAAACCATTTTCCAAGTTTCAAAGAAAACCCAATAAAGCACAGACCTGAAAATGGAGGAATGCCCATTCCAACTCCGAGGAGAACAAGTGCATTCCTTATCTCACTCTTCGGAATCTTCCCCTTATCTTCTACGTCCAAATCAGTGAAGACCTTCTCAGCTAACATGGCGAAATCATCTTCATCCTCTAGAACGGGCTTCAAAGACTCCCCATCACAAATTCGCAACACAAGCGGATCATCTGATCAAGAACAACAAACAAACAACTTACATCGAATCAATACCCCACAATCCCATCTACGTCCAATCCATTCATTGACACAATCACATTGGCATAGACAAGTCGTGAATACGTACTTCAATATGAACCAGTGTCAGTACCTTTTAATTCATCGGCGATGGCAGCGAAGTAATCTTTGAGTTTCTGAGAGGCTTGATCTGGGGTGAACACAGTAGACCGGAAAGTGAAGTCATCAGCGGGAGAAGAGGAGGAGGAGAGACGGGAAAGACCAGCCGTTTTGAGATGTTGCGGCAATGGGAGGCCACAGAGAAAGTTCGAGGCTTTGGAATCAGCGAAGTCTAGGAGCTGAGCTCCGGTCATGGCGGCGTTGGGTTCCGGGAGGGGGAGA